TACCAGCAGTCATAGATGTTGAATAGATGATAGTCTTTACGAAATAGATGTAAGAGTAGTTTACTAACTAGAACACATGGAGAAGTAGTCGACAGGGCTGTTTTTTAGTAAAAATCTATCGAATAGGGCCGGGCAACTGGGACCGTAGCAAACAGTACGCACAGAGCAGTTTTCCAACGGATGGGGTGGAGTAGTTCAACCGCGAGCGCTTGCGGAGCTAAGGCTGAGTATTCTCGTTCGCGGGAGCAGAGAAAAAATTCGGCAAGGGGGGAGGTGTAGTGCACAGGCACTACATGGTCCACAGTTGCGGTACCCAGCGTGTAAGATAGAGAGTGAGGACAGCAGCCTATAAGAGACCTGAGGTTGCCTAAGTTAGCTATAGATGGAATTCGATAATATTAGCAGGTTTAGAAGCATATTAGAGTTGTAGCAGTTGATTGGTGCTGGGACTGAGTAGCAGCCCCCCGTCGCAGAGCTTTGCGCGTTGGCGCATAGAAAGTAAGTGACATAGTTGGGTCATGTTTGGCTCTGTGTATTCAATTAAGGATAGAGGTTTTGTGAATTAGAATAAAATTGGTAAATTTAGGAGCAGAGTTGGTCCGAAAGAGTCGGGCCTTGCCTGCGGTCCGACTGATGCACCCGGTGCCGGGATGGACGGCAGGGTGTAACCCAAGGTATTTAGACGCTCATTTTGTAGATCTAGCTCATACAAGGGCCTGTAGGCCTAGGGGGGTGACTACGTAGCCACGGTACGCGGACACCGTGTGTTACATTTGGGGGCCGTTCCGGGAATTTTTAGGTTTTTTGTCACTTTTTCCATTAGTTTGAGTACCTTGTAAACTAGGGGACGTCAATTCGAAAGTGTGGGGTACGACCACTACTGTCTGGGGGCATATTCAATGATGGGGTGCGATCGAGTTCCCCCAGAGGGGCAGAGACAAGGGTGTGGGGTGCGCCCCTATGAAGGAAACAGGGCGCGAGAAGAACCCTACGTACAGAGAATATCTTTAAATTCTGATTCCGATTCTCCATTACAGACAGCGAGAAATGATTACTATGACACGAGAGCTTGCAGGGGCGATCCCTTTTTCCGACCAGTCCCTCAGATGCCACTGGAAGGTGGATCTAGTATGCTGAACTTCCTTAGGAACTTCGAATTAAATTTTAGAGACTGCGGCATACCCAGGGAACGCTGGGGGTATGAGGTGCGCAAGTATTTCACTGGCGAAGCCATAGCCTTCTGGTTCCACCTATACGACACCAATGTTGATGTAAGTGATTGGGAAGAGGTTAGGCGGAACCTGCTAGGGAGATTCTGTAGGGCCGGTAAGGAGGCCACTCTGGTTCAGCTGGCTAAGTTAAAATGGGAAGGATGCCCAGGGAAGTATTCATCCGACTTCTCTAGTATAATCTGCCAAACTGAACCCCTGCCACAGGAGGAGTTGGTGGCATACTATCTAGCTAATCTACCTGTGGATATCTATGAGAAACTGACGAGGAGTGGACACTTGAGATTTGAAAAGTGGGAGGACGCCGCTGAGGAGCTGAGGGACGTAGTAGGAAGCTGGGATGAAGCGTTGAAGTACTACTGACGTACTCAGCGGGAACTACGGCACATTTTAACAACTTACGGGAACCATGAACACCAGAAGCGTCAGATTGAAAGGCGGGAGACCATAAGGGAACACCCGCCTCCTACCAGAGAGCAAACCAGAACTTTGGAGTGTTACGTGTGTCGGGGAAGAGGGCACTCAGCACTGGCCTGCCCATCAAGAACAGAGGACACTAAGCGCCCCGGGGAAATGTGTCGTCGGTGCGGAGGAGTGGGACACTATGCTTCCACGTGTGCCTCTCCCTACGACCGAAATGGAGCTCCTACTGTCAAGCGAGAGACTCCACCGACACGACCCCGACCTACTCCACCTAGACGTTTAAACGAGCAGGCCTAGCCGTTGACGGGGACAATCGGGCTAGGCCGATGGCACCTGGTAGCGGCGCCCTGTGTACGATAGCTACAGGGCCCAATAGTATACCGGTTTCCCCGAATTTGCGAGAAAAATTGCTGGGTCGGGTAGCAGCTCCTGAGTCAACCGCACAGACGCACAGTTGCTGCTTAGATCAAGTTTGGAAGGGGCAATGGTGGCAGATAAGTGGGGAGGAAGATACCCAAGGGGGGAGCCTGTGTAGCGCAGGAACAGCAGCTGTCCTGAGAGTGGTGGTAGCAGGACAACGATGCGAAGCGCTGGTAGATACGGGAGCATCCAGAAGCTTTATAAACCCGGATAAAGTGAGGAAACTTCAGCTAAAGGAGAGATTACTAGCGGAGGAATGCTGTTTCACGGTGGCGAACGGAGAGAAGTTGAGGATCACTCGAGTAGTCAAACGGTTAGTTATGTGGAGCGGGGGCATGAAACTAATTGGGGACTTCTTAGTGGGACCGGTGCCTTACGATCTAGTGGTGGGACTAGACTGGTTGACTGAGCACGAGGTTGCGTGGTCTTTCCCTTCGGATGAACTACGTGCACTGGTAGAGGGCCAATGGATTAAGTTGACACTCGTTCGTTTAAGCAAAGGGAGGTCGGAACGGGTTAGCGACCCCCTGGTAAGCCCAAAGTCACCAGCCGAACGGGCGTATGACCTACTAGCCAGACAAATAGCTGAGATGCCACAGGAGGAGGCTATGGCACTTCTACGCCCCCAGCCTATGAAGCACAAGTCACACACGCTAAAGGGACTGAAGGTGGATATCAAGGCACTACTACAACAGGCCAGGGAGAACACAGCACAGATTCAACACCCGATGCAAGGGCTGTCTTCTATCCTCGCAATCCCGGTGGGCGAGAAGCCCGAAACACCGAATCCGACAGAGGCTGGGCAAGGGACATGGTGCTGCGCCGTGTTGGGAACCCCCAAGGTTCCTGCAGGGGCTGGGGGGAACAGAGAAATGGGGGAACAAGAGCAGTTAGACGATGAGGAGGAGTCCCCTTGGCCGACAGCTACCCTGGAGTATTCGCGTTTCGATGAATGGCTAAAGTCCGAGGCAGCGTCGTCGACCCCTTCAATCATCCTTGATGTGTTGAAGGGATACCGAGCAGTGTTCCCTGATCAGCTGCCCGCTGGACTACCACCGAAGCGCCCTTTTGATCATCGGATCCTCCTAGTGCCTGGGAGGATGCCTACAAAGTCGCCGATATACCGAATGACCCCTGAACAATTACAGGCACACAAACAGGAGATAGCCCGACTGACTACTAAGGGATGGATAGGGCCTACATATTCCCCTATATGCGCCCTGACTATCATGGGGGATAAGAAGGACGACGGGACGGGGGAACAAAAGATGAGAATGGTAGTTAACTATAGGGAGATAAATGCTCTTACGGTGGCGCCCGACTTCCCCTTACCTCCCATTGCCACTATCTTGGAAATGCTGGGAGGGGCCAAGTATTTTTCCTCTTTGGATCTGGAGTCGGGATATCATCAGGTACGCATGGCACGGGAGGACCGGTGGAAGACTGCGTTCAGTTCCGTGCTTGGCCTTTTTGAGTATAAGGTGATGCCTTTCGGCCTGAAAGGAGCACCTGCAACGTTCCAAGCAAACATTAATTATTGTCTACAACCATTCTTGGGACAAGGGGTGATAGCCTATTTGGATGATATACTTATATACAGCTCTGATTTACAAGGCCACGCTACTCTATTGAAACAAGTTCTAAGTATCTTACAAAAGAATTACTTCTTTCCGAAGTTCAGCAAATGTGAGTTCGCAAAGAAAGAACTCACGTATCTGGGGTACACAGTCAGCGCGGAAGGAATCAAACCCGCCGCTGACAAAGTTGCAGCCGTTCAACAGTGGCCGGAGGTGCTACAGAATGACACCCAGGTGCGGCAGTTCCTGGGCACTGTAAACTACTGTCGTATGTTTATGGGGGCAGACTATGCTAGAGTGGCCCGCGCCCTACTGGAACCCACACGGAAGGGGGCCCTTTTCAAGTGGACGGAGGCCCACACACAGGCAGTGCAACAGCTCAAACGAAAACTAACTGATTACGTCACCCTCCAGATACCCGATACCACGAAGCCTTTTGACCTGTACACGGATGCTTCGGGATTTGCGTTGGGTGCGGTCCTAGAGCAGGAGAGAAAACCAATCGGGTTCCTGAGCCAAACAATGAACGCTGCGCAGCAGAAGTACTCAATCTATGATCAAGAATTATTGGCACTGGTTACCGCTTTGGACAAGTGGTCACACCTACTGCGGGCAGTGAAGGTAACGGCCTACACGGATCATCAAGCACTAACACACCTGCAACAACTTAGGGCATCCAAACCTTTAAGGGGGCGTACCGCCAGGTGGCTTGATTTCCTCGCAGAGTTCCCTGAACTGACGATCTTATACCTGCCAGGCACACGCAATCAAGTAGCGGATGCATTGTCACGTAACCCTGGAGGGCCTACAACCAAGGCTCCCAGCAGTATTGACACCCAACAAGACTCATTGGTTTCCCTCGCACCCGCTGAGGTACCCTTAACTCCACATCCTGAAACTAGAAGACGACGTAACGACTGTCGACAACTAGCCGGCATTCGGGCGAGGACGCGGCAACAGCGGAGAAGCGAGAAGCCCACGGAGGTGACCCTGGATACACAACAGCAGCGCGATCGGCCACAGCAACAGACGAGTGCAACACACAAGCCGAATTCCCCTACACACGCTCTCGACTGGCCAGGGGCATACTCTAAGTGTCCAGTCTTCCGCGAAGCTTATACGGCCGCTGCCAAGACCCCAGGAGAAACTGTCCATGCCGAGATTCATCAACGCCGCTATGGGTTTTGTTACCAGCACCCATATCTGCGCATATGTCAGAATGGCATTTGGCTGATATGTGTCCCACAATTACCGGAGTTCGTAACGCATATACTATACCAGTTTCACGATCACGTCACAGCGGGGCACAGGGGACAAAAGAAGACTTTCCTTGCAATCAGCAAATATTACTATAGGCCTGGGATGCGCACATATACGAATACGTACGTGGATTCGTGTGTACAATGTCGAGCTTCGAAGAGGGTCACCCAGAAACCCGCCGGCCTGTTGCAGCAACTCCTGATACAGTCACGGCGTTGGAGCCACGTGAGCTTGGACTTTATCACCGTGCTGCCACACACACACGCAGGACACGACGCCATCTTGGTGCTGGTGGATTCACTGAGCAAGATGGCCCATTTCATCCCCACGCGCAAGACAAGTTCAGCAGCAGACACGGTAGCACTATTGGCGGACAGGCTCATTCGATATCATGGGTTCCCAGAGACCCTAGTCTCAGACAGGGACCCGCGTTTCACCTCGGAGATCTGGGAGGCGCTGTGCTAGCGCTTCAACATCAGACGAGCACTGCCCTCCCCCTACCACCCACAGACAGACGGAGCGTGTGAACCGCACGCTCGAGCAGATGCTACGCACATACATACAATCGGATGAGAGGGAGTGGGAGCATCTGTTACCTGCATTAGAGCTATCGTATAATACTACACCCCACTCGTCCACAGAGCTCTCTCCGTTTGAAGTCATGATAGGGGAGAACCCCTTACAGCGGCGGACCTGGACATAGTGGGGACGTTACCCCCAACACTCTCCCCTCCTATGACGAAACTTTTTCAGCGCCTCTGCGATAGGGCACAGGCCCACATCCTGCAAGCAAAGTGGAGACAGAAGTATTACGCTGACACCAGGAGACGTCCGATGGAGTATAAGGTGGGGGATCGAGTGTGGATTAGCAGCAGACACTTGCCAGCGTTAAATGAGTGTGCCAAATTGGAGCCTCGGTATCGAGGTCCATTCAAGGTTACTGAGAGGATAGGGGAGGTGGCTTACCGAATTGATCTTCCTGGGAGCTACGCAGGGCATAACGTCTTCCCCGTTTCGCAGCTGATTCCGCATCATCCTCGACCTGCTACACACATGCCACAGAGGGGTGGCCGCCAGTTCGGGACGAGGCTGGGAGCCCCACAGACCAGTACCTCGTAGACTATATACTGGACCTACGAGGTTCAGGGTCTTCTGCCACCTACCTGGTCAAATGGCGTGGTGCCCCAGAGGAGCGGGCCACGTGGGAACCCGCACACCATCTCCAGGGTTGCCCAGCCTTAATTAGAGCCTGGAAGCGACGCAGACCTAAACCCAGTCAGAATCGAAACAATGTGGAGCAGCCAGTGGAAGATACGAGAGCAGAAGATGACCAGCTGAGGCGAGAGACCGTCAAGGAAGATGAAGACGAAGAACATGCATGCACTACCTGAGGAAGCTACATACGTTCGGATATTCCTTCCCGCGTCATAAGCTGAGCCTACTCGGGTATACACAAACGCCCACAAGACGTGGATAACTAACTCAGGGGGAGTACTAAGTTCCTACAGCACAACGGTGGACCTGGGCGCTGCACACTTAGTGTGTACTGCACACTTAACACACTTAAGTGTGTTGCAGCAACGGAGGATGCGAGGACACAGGTGATAAGTGGGGGATATTGGATGGGATGCTAGGAAACAAGACTTAGGAACCAAACATGGATACCTTAGGGACGTCAGAAGACGCCAAGAAAATAAACAGCAGTGAGAGTTTAAAGTTAGGGACGGCCTGGAGAGCTCGCTGTCCTCTCCAGGGTTGATAGTAAATCGGCATTTGTTCGTTCGAAACAGCGCACGGAGGTGTCTCGGCGGCATGAGGCAGTGCTCGTGCCGGTATTGGTGTGAGGGTTAGCAGAATATGTTGTACAAACCCAGGACGCTATCCTACAGATGGTAGGCGGCACTGCGTGCCACAGCAGGCAGAGTCACAATGCGCAGGGGAACTGCGAACGCAAATGGACAAGGCGCCGGCGGAGCCCAACGAGCAGGGGGACTACGGAAACAAATGGAGGAGGCACCGACGGCATAGCAGGGGAGCTAGCTGCAACGCAAAAGCCGCAACAGCAAGAGCAGCCGTAAACAAACAGCAGCCACAGCAAGAGCAGCAACCGCAGGAGCAGCAGTAAGCAAACAGCAGCAATATCAAAAGCCGCAACAACAAGAGCAGCCGTAAACAAACAGCAGCAACAGCGGAAGCAGCAACCGCAAGAGCAGCAGTAAGCAAACAGCAGCAACGGCAAGAGCAGCAACAGCAGGAGCGACAACAGCAAGAGCAGCAATAGCAAGAGCGCAGCAACTGCACGAGCAGCAATAGCAAGAGCGGCAACAGCGGAAGCAGCAACAGCAAGAGCAGCAACAGCGGAAGCAGCAACAGTAAGAGCGCAGCAACAGCACGAGAAGCAATAGCAAGAGCGGCAACAGCGGAAGCAGCAACCGCAGGAGCAGCAGTAAGCAAACACCAGCAACGTCAAGAGCCGCAACAACAAGAGCAGCCGTAAACAAACAGCAGCAACAGCAAGAGCAGCAACAGCAAGAGCAGCAGTAAGCAAACAGCAGCCACGGCAAGAGCAGCAACAGCAGGAGCGACAAAAGCAAGAGCAGCAATAGCAAGAGCGCAGCAACAGCACGAGCAGCAATAGCAAGAGCGGCAACAGCGGAAGCACAACAGCAAGAGCAGCAACAGCGGAAGCAGCAACAGTAAGAGCGCAGCAACAGCACGAGCAGCAATAGCAAGAGCGGCAACAGCGGAAGCAGCAACAGCAAGAGCGCAGCAACAACACGAGCAGCAATAACAAGAGCGGCAACAGCGGAAGCAGCAACAGCAAGAGCAGCAACAGCGGAAACAGCAACAGCAAGAGCAACAGTAAGCACACAGCAGCGACAGCAAGGGCAGGAACAGCAAGTACAGCAGCAATCAAAAAGGGCCCTGTGTCTGCTGCAGCTACAGGAGGAAGAAAGTGAATTAAAAAGAGTCACTATAAAATCACAAGGCACAGCAGCAGGAAGTGCTGCAGATATTGCGGCAGCTGAAGCAGCAGTCGCGGTCTTGGCCGAGTAGCATGAGGGAAAACAAAGTCGCCTTACAGGTGGAGGTAAACACAGAGTAGTGGACAGAGGTATTCAAAGACGACTGTCGGCGATATGCCGCCAATGCTGCTGCTGAATCCACGCGAGAGTCAGAAGGAACGAGGTAGAGTCGCCCACCCGCTTGATGACGCAGAGTTGACGCACCGTGATGAGCAGTTGAAGATACCGCAGAGGCTGATAGGCGCGTAGTGTCGCGCGGAGGACACTACCGCAGCTTTCGAGAGTCCTCGAGAGTTTCAAGAGCTTCCCAGGGATTCAGCGAGTTTTATGAAACAGAGGTCTGATGATCGCGTGCGACTGAAGACACATCGACCTCCAGGAGCGGGTGCAAAGAGGACAGCAGGAGAAGCAAAGAAGGAACGACGAAGAAGAGTAAATGGGACGGCGAGGCCCTTTCTGTCCCGAAGGGGGGAGAGGGTGTCGGCACACCGATACCGGAAGCGGGACGTAAATTAACTGCCGATCAAGCAGAGAAGAAACGTGAAAATCAAGTTTTGGAGAAAATTAATGTCGAGTTACAAGAGTCGACAAACCTTACAGCGGAGGAGAACCTCCAGATGCGGTAGACGGGGACACGCCTGCGAAATGGAGGTTTCGGCGTCGGCACACCCGATACCGGAAGCGGGACGTGAATTAACTGCCGATCAAGCAGAGAAGAAAACGCAGATTAACTGCCGATCAAGCAGAGAAGAAAACGCAGATTAACTGCCGATCAAGCAGAGAAGAAATGGGAAGATCGAGTTTGGAGAAAATAATGTCAAGTTACAAGAGTCGATAAACCCTACAAGGGAGGAGTGTAACACACGTTGGCCGCATACCGTGGCTACGTAGTCACCTCTATAGGCCTGTAGGCCCCTGTATGAGCTAGATCTACAAAATGAGTGTCTAAACCCCTTAACTCTCAGTTATCCCCATGGAAAATCCCTAAATTACGGAACTTCCGAAGGAAGGTTCGTTCCAAAATCGCCTTCCTTCAGTGAGTCTGTTCGTCCCCGCCAGGTGTGGGTTTCACCCTGCCGTCCATCCCGGCACCGGGTGCGGCGGTCGGACCGCAGGCGAGGCCCGACTCTTTCGGACTAACTCTGCTCCTAAATGTACCAATTTTATTCTAATTCACAAAACCTCTATCCTTAATTGAATACACAAAGCCAGACATGACCCAACTATGTCACTTACCTTCTATGCGCCAACGCGCATAGCTCTGCGACGGGGTGCTGCTACTCAGTCCCAGCACCAAATCAACTGCTACACCTCTAATAT